GCGGCCACTACACTCCAGTCTGGGCGACAGAGTGAGACTACAACTCAAAAAAAAAAAAAACAGGCACAATAACTTTGCCTTTGAGGAATGTATTAAATGAATTACTGTGATGCAAAGGGCTTTGTAAATGACAACAACGTACTGAGCAAGGCCTTATGGGAGGGAACTCATTCTCATTCTCATTCTCAGGAGCTGTAGTGAACCTTGGGGCCACACCCCTCCACAGGCAGCCCCCACTCACTGTCTCAATGGCCAAGGCCTGCGCTTTCAGTTTGGCCTGTAGCACAGACCCTTCTCCCTCGATCCGTGCTGCCTCCGCGCGGGACTCGGCCTCTGCCTTGGCGCTCCCGGTGCTCTCCACAGCCATGCTGGAGGAGGAGGCAGTCAGGTGAGACCCAGGAGAAAGCCCAGCCCTCCCACAGCCTTGACTTATCCAGTGGTAGCTCTCTCTCCCTCTCTCTCTCACCCCTCCCTTCCTCCCTCCCTCTCCCTTTCTCTCATATACCACTACCTCTACTAGCTGCTATCTCAAGATGCCAGTCTTCTCCTCCTCTAGTTCTTTCTTTTTTTTTTTTGAGATGGGGTCTTGCTCTATTGCCCAGGTAGGAGTGCAGTGGCAGGATCACAGCTCACTGCAGCCTTGAACTCCTGGGCTCAAGCGATCCTCCTAGCTCAGCCTATTAGGACTACAGATGCATGCCACCACGGTCAACTAATTACACATTTTTTTGTAGAGATAGGGTCTTACTATGTTGCCTAGGCTGGTCTCAAATTCCTGGGCTCAAGTTATCCTCTTGCCTCAGCCTTCCAAAGTGCTGGCATTACAGGTATGGACCACCATGCCCGGTCCCTCCTGTAGTTCTTTACCTACCTCAGAGCCTCCAGTTCCAAGAGTTCCCTGCGAGCTTTTTCGGCTTCTGATTGGTCCAAGATCTTCTGCCTCTCAAGTCGACCACGGGCTTCCTGTTCTAGTCTCTGAGCCTCATGCCTGGAGGAAGGGGGGACAGGTAAGATGCTAGTGTGGGAACAGAAGCACCAAGGGCAGAAACCACCAATCTATTGGATGCCCAGGATACACCCTGGCCCCTAAAAAGAAGGCACTCAACACAGAACTCCACCCAGAACAGTATGCATGCAGGAAACACAGGTGTGATCATGGTCCCTGCTTTCATGTATTTGCCCTCCAGTGGGGAAAACATAAGCATGCAAGGATTTCAGAGAGTGACGAGTACCTTGAAGGCAATAAAATGGACAGCTGCACAAAGAGGGCGATATTCACTTATAGGAGAAAGACAAGGGTTCTCTAGGCCCCCCACTTTTTTTTTTGAGTTGGAGTCTCACTCTGTCACCCAGGCTGGAGTGCAGTGGGATGCTCACAACCACCGCAGCCTTGACTTGCTGGGCTCTGGGAATCCTTCCATCTCAGCCTTCCAAGTAGCTGGAACTACAGGTGCACGCCACTATACCCAGCTAATTTTTAAATCTATTGTAGAGCGAGGTCTTGCCATGTTGCCCAGGCTGGTCTCGTTGCATGGGCTTAGGCAATCGAGGAGACCGCCTTGAAAGGAGATCTCTGGGCAGTGGGAAAAGCTGGTGCAAAAGGTCCAGATGGGAACAAGCTGCACATTAGGGGAGCAGGAGGGAGCCAGTGGGGCTGGAACATGACGGCTAGCAGGAAAGGCTGGGAGATGGGCTGGGGAGGCCAGTTGGAGCCCGGAGTGCCTGGAAGGCCCACAAAGGAGTTAGGTTTTATCAAAGCAAGGTGGAAAGCCACAGGAACAGGGGTGGCATGTGATTCACACTTAAATGGGTCATCCTATCTGCTGGGTAGACAATAGGCCCCCAGGGGCAAAGAAGACAGCAAACAGGCCATCAGGGGATGCCATGCTATCCAGGTCCTGGCCGATGCTGAGATGGGAACCCCGGAGAAGCCTGCAGTGAGCACTGTGGATGGCCGGGTCCTGGGCCCTACTCACTTGGCTGCTGCTTCCTGGGAGTTGGTGGTGATCTCGATGGCCAGCTGGACACTGCGCTGCAGAGCATCTCGGGTCCTCTGGTCCACTGGCTCCACTGACTGCACATCCACACTGCTAACCACCAGCCCGTTCTGGGGGAAGATGGCCTGATTCCGGGGCCTGGGAAGGGCCACGTCGTCAGGGCCCTTGGCCTCTGGGGTCTCAAAGCCGAAAACAGCAGTACGAATGATGCGGGCTGAGTTCTTGTGGAAGTCATCGAAGGTGACAGAGGCCACAGCCCCCCGCACCCGGGATGCAATGGCCTTGCAGGCGTCACCCACAAAGTCGGGCACGGAGAAGAGCTTGGCTGTCTCTTGGGGATCCTTCCGGTCACTCACCTCAAAGTGCCTGTGAACAAAGAGGCTCAGGATGGGAAAGCTGTGTTCCCTAAGGAAACAACTCTCTCTTTGAGAAGGTCTCTTACGCTAAAGAATTCTAATTTGTACCTGGTGAGATCCTAAGCAACAACCCTGTTCCCGTTTAATTCTCTCAGTCACCTTCTGAGACGGGGAGGAGCATTTTCTCCATTTTACAGATGAGGAAATAGAGGTCCAGAAAGGTTAAGTGACTGGCCCAAGGTCACATGATATGTGGCAAGCCAGAAAGTTGATCGTAGGGTGCCGGGAACATGTTAGCAGCCCATCTGCCTGTGTCAGGGTACTGGCTACTCTCAGCCAGAGGTGAGGAATGCATGCTTGAGGGTTGCTGAGCGCTGCTTCTGGACATGACTTACCTCATCCAATTCTAATAGCTGCCACTGAGTTCTAACCACACTCAGGGCACTGTTAGCCCTGTGATGGAGGTTATGCTGTCTTCCTCATTTTACAGATGGAGAAACTGAGAAAAGCACCTAGTTCCTTGCCCAGGTCCACAGCAGGGCTGGGATGCAGACCCGGGCAATAGGCTCCCAGGCAGTAGGCTCCAGGGCATGTGCTCTGCCACCTGCTTCCATGGCTGTGTCCCATCCATCTTTTGTTTTTTAAGTTGGAGTCTCACTCTGCTGCCTAGGCTCAAGTGCAGTGGCACCATCATGACTCACCAAAGTATCGACCTCTTGGGCTCAGGCTATCCTTCTGCTTTAGCCTCCTGAATAGCTTGGATTACAGGTGCCCGGCTAATTTTTTCATTTTTTAAAATTTTTGTAGAGACAAGGTCTGGCTATGTTGTCCAGACCTTGTCTCTTGAACTTTAACTCCTGGGCTCAATTGATCCACCTGCCTCGGCTTCCCAAAGTGCTGGGATTACAGGTGTGAGCCACTGCACCCAGCTCACTGATCTTTTAATAACCTTGCAGTTAAGCCTTTGGCTGCACACATGCTGGGAGTTTCGCTGGGGTAGTGTCCAGCTACTGGGGCCCCAGTGTCCTGGTCCTAGGAGGTGAGCCCACAGCTTCCTTGGGTTGCGTGAGTTCCTGGGTTCCCTCTTGACCATGGCATGGGGTCATACATCCTGTCCTCAGGAGGAGCCCACAACCTCAGGGGGCACCTCTCTTCCTTGGGGTCCCCAGGGCTATGCCCAGCAGGAGCCCTTGCCACCAACGCCCCACCCTTGTTACCAGTTGTAGGCAAGCTGCAGCTGCAGCCTGGCGTGATCTGCTGTCTCGATGGTGATGACGTCTGTAAAGAAATCAGGACCGAGCAGCAGGCAGAGCGCACGGCGGGCGTGGGGACGTTTGGGCCGCCCCGCTGAGAGAGACAACACTGTGAACTGCTCCTCAGGACCCAGTGTTATCAGCTCGGGTCCAAAGACCACACTGCAGAGAGAGCCAGAGGTCAGTCAGACACATAGCGAGCATCCCCACCCCTGCTCCCCACCCTGGCTGGCCCTCACCGAGCTCTCTTCTCTCTGTAGTCGTACACCTGCACGGCAGCGTTGTGCGGGACACGGTAGGTGACCACGCGGGTCTTGTTCCGGGGCACTGAGGGCTGAAGGGTCTTGGCCTTGGCTGTGTCCTTCTCACCCCTGTCGGCCAGAGGGTCGTGCCCCTTGTTCAGCAGATCCTCCACCCCAGGAGGCAGCTCTTTCTCCCACAGGACTTCGTCCTGGGTCAGCATGTAGGTGCTTCCAATCACAGCACGTACCTTGAGAGACAAGGACAAGGAGGGACACTGACAGTGAGGGCAGAAGGAAGAAAGTCCCACCCCACGGTCCTAAAGCAGAGCTGGTCCAGGGGAGGTACAGCACTGTGGTTAAATGGTCTCCACAATGAGGCTGGGTTCGATCTTGGGTTTGTCATCTGCTAGCTCTGTCATCTTAGGCAAGCTGTTTCACCCCCTGGGGCTTCAGTTTCCTTGTCTGTCAAATGACTTGATTGTAACTACCTCATGGGGTTAAGGAAGGAATGACATTTCACATATCTAGTCCAAAGGACAGCACTTGACATATAGGAAGAGCCCAGTATTGTTTCTGGAATCTTCCTTCAGCTTGAGGGCATCCTGGGGACAGATGTAATCCTAGCAAGGAGGCAGTATACACCAACACCCCCTAGCCTTCTTAGCTCTACTTCTAGGTTGGATTCTTAGAAGAAGGTTGGAGATGTGGCCCAAGGTCAAACAAAAGTCAAAGTTTTAGGCAAAGTAGCAAAAAGGAAAGATTCCCCCAGAACATGGACATGGGGGAGGAGGCTCCTGTTGTCTCAAGGCCACCCGGTCACACCTCTATGCTGGGGGCCAGACCTGCAGTAGGGCAGAGTCCCCATCTTAAAACCTGGCTCATCCTCTCAGGGGGAGTTTCTAAAATTGGAAATTTGATATTTAAGACAAAGGAGGGCAAATACTCCGTGGAATGCCCTCATTCCTAGAAGCTGCTCCCCCCAGATGCGGCTCTCGATGCCCCCGAGGTCCTCTGCCCCACTTCCACCCTGTGCCCTCCCCCAGCAGCATCTCCCCGCTTGCCCACCGCTCAGCCATTACCCTTCCAGTCTTGACATCCTGCACATAGATGCCTTCGTTCTCATCCAGAGGGATGGCCTGACGCTCTTCTACCACCTCCACCTTGGCAGACGGCACATACTCCAGGGGCCCGCGGATGAGCCAGCGGTCTCCAGCCTGGCGTGCGACCTGTTCCCCGTCCTCCCCTATGTCCAGGGGTTGCAGGGCCCTCAGTAGCAGTCCCTGCTGCTCTGACAGCACATATACATCTTGGATGCCTCGTTCCAGCCTCTCTCCAGGCTGAAGGAAGAAAGACTTCTCTCCCTAGTCGGGAGATGTGGGGTTAGGGGTTAGGAGCAGTTGCCACCCAGAGTTGCAGGTGCCTCAGATGACACCTCTGCAGCCACATGCTGTCTCAGGCTTGTGTTAAGGATGGGAGCCAAAACGCACCCTCTCACCCCCATGTTATCTATGCAGAAGTGTTATTTGGACTGTGAGGCGCTACACAAGTGTCTGCAGAATCTCATCTGGCCAAACATGGGCTTGGGAAGATTCTGGAAACTATCAGGACCAGGAACTGTACAAGCTAAACATTTAAAAATTAACCTACTATTCTTCTTCATTTCTCCCATGCTTTGTTTTCTTAGGATGGTGTGATCCAAAGGTTGGCAAACTTTGGCCTTTGGCACAAATCTGACCCACTGCCTATTTATTTATTTATTTTATTTTATTTTTAGTTGGAGTCTTATTCTCTTAGCCAGGGCTCAGGCAATCATCTGGCCTCCGCCTCCCAAAGTGCTAGGATTACAGGCACGAGTCACTGTGCCTGTAAATATATATTTGTATTGACATATAATCTACATATAAAATTTACTCATTTAGAATATACAATTCAAGCTGGGCTCGGTGGCTCAGCCTGTAATCCCGCGCCTTTGGGAGGTTGAGGTGAGTGGATTGCCTGAGCCCGCGGGTTCGAGACCCGCCTGGGCAGGCGAGACCTCACCTCTAAAATAAATCAAAAAAATTAGCTGGGCGTGATAGTGCATGCCTGTAATTCCGGTTACTCAGAAGGCTGAGGCAGAAGGATCGCTGGAGCCCAACAGGTCGAGGCTGCGGTGGCTAGGAGTGGCCACTGCACTCCAGTCTGGGCGAGAGTGAGACTCCAACTCAAAAAAAAAAAAAAAAAAAAAGAATATACAATTCAGTTGTTTCAGTATATTCAAGGTTATTCAATCATCATTACTATGTAAATTTAGAATATTTTCATCACCTTGAAAAGAAATCCTGTACCTAGAAGTTACTGTTGTTTCCCCTTTTCCCCGGACCACAAGTTTGTTTTCTTTCTCTATGAATTTGCCCAGTTCTGGACATTTCATATGAATAGTTTTCTACAACATATGGCCTTTGATGCCTGGCTTATTTCACTTAGCATGATGTTTTCAATTTTGGTTTTTGTTGCTGTTGCTGTTTTGAGTCACTCTGTCACTCAGGCTGGAGTTCAATGGCACACTGCTCATGGCCACCGCAGCCTTGACCTGCTGGGCTCAGGCGATCCTTCCGCCTCAGCCTTCCAAGTAGCCGGAACTACAGGTGCACGCTACCACGCCTGACTAACTTTTTGATTTATTGTAGGGATGAGGTCTCGCCAAGTTGCCCAGGCAGGTCTTGAACCCACGGGCTCAGGCAATCCTCTCACCTCTGCCTCCCAAAGTACTGGGATTATAGGCATGAGCCACCATGCCCAGCCGATGTTTTCAATTTGATCCATGTTATAGCATGTATAAGTATGTTCTTTCTTTTTTTTATATAGCTGCATGATATTCCTTTGTGTGAATATGCCACAATTTTGTATCCCTTCATTAATTTATGGATGTTTGGGTTGTATCTACTTTTTATGCCTCATGTTTTTACAAATAAAATGTTCCAGGAACACAGCAGCACTCACTCACTGACTCATTTCTTAGGCTGCTTTCACAATACAACAGCAGAGTTGAACAGTTTCAGCAAACTGTATGAGTCACAAAGCCTGAAATATCTACATCTGGGCTCTTACAGAAAATGCCTGCCAATCCCTGGTATTCCTAGGTACAGTTCAGAGAGGGGATGAGGCAGGGAGTGGGGAGAAGGGGAGACCAAGAGACTTGTTTTATGAATGATGACAAAGTTTCCAGAACACAGATGTGTGCAATACAGTCACGCACTTCATAGTGACATTTCAGTCAACTGCAGACCGCATAACAACGTTGGTCCCATAAGATCATAATGGAGTTTCTGTACCATATTTTTACTGTAACTTTTCTATTTAGAGACACAAATACCATGTTTATAGTTGACTACAGCATTCAGGACAGTCATATGCTGTATAGGTTTGTAGTCTGGGAGCAATTGGCTATACCACATAGCCTGGGTTTGTGGTAGTCTGTACCATCTCGGTTTGCGTAAGTACACTCAGTGATGTTTGCACAACACAATCACCTAACAATCATTTCTCCAAATGTATAGTCATCAGTAAGTGATGCATGACTGCATCAGAGAGAGTTTCAGGGTCTCTGGGCATGGGGAAGAGCCAGGAGGCCTTCCCAGAAGAGGCAGCATGTCACTTGAGTTCTGACAGGTAAGAGGGAGGTTGCCTGGGAATCAAATGGGCCGGTGTTTCAGGCTTTGGAACCAAGTGTGCAAAGGCAGAGGGTGTTTAGAACATGGACCTGGTTTGCAAGGAAAGAAGGGAGAGAGGGCAGAAGGCCTCATGCCACTCGAGGGCATTTACCATCCCAGGGCCCCTGGAGAGGTGGAGGGACTCACCTTGACCACACGCTTTTGCCCCAGCTGGTTCTTGCCATCAGGTCCGACAGGGTCGAGAATCACACAGTAGTTGCGGGGGCCCAAGGTGGTGATGGGCACGACCCCCCGCATCTCCTCGTTGACATCTGGTACGTGGGCCTCTGTGTCCTGCACCGTCACCAGCCACTCCTCCCCGGTGCGGCGGGCCACTCCCCTGGTGTCTCGGAAGTTCTGCCAAGCCCGGAGGTGCAGGGCTATCTGCAGAGCGAGGCGTTGGGTGCTCAAGTAAACTACTTCCAAGTTCCTCAGAAGATCTGGGAAGCCACTGAATGCTCCCTGGTCTGAGTGATGATTTCTACCAACTCAGGAAGACTTTTTAACCCTTTCAGATGACCTGGAATACTTCCCCCCAGGTGATGTGACCACTGACTTTTTTCCCTAGTGACTCTAGAAATATACCTTCTCTTACTGGTGTTATCTGCTACCATTCTCTGTCACTCTGACTGTTCCATATCCCCGGGTCCCATGACCCACACTTCCAGAGCACAAACCTTTTCTGTAAGGATCACAGCATCCACCAAATCCAGAACCTCCTCAAACACCGCTGGGAGATACGCCCCCACTGTGGTGACCAGCCATTCTTCTCCTGGGCCAAGAGTGGAAGGTAAGAGTCAAAGGTCGCCCCATCTGCTCCCCAGTCAACCCTTCCCTCAGCCTAGATATAGGGGATCAGGAGGACTTTGTGGGCAAGGAGACGCCACTACTCTGTGGCTTGAGGGCTTGGCAAGTGTTCTTGCATTCATTCCGTTTTTTGTTTTGCTTTGTTTGTTTTATATGAGTTGGAATGTCACTCTGTCATCCAGGCTGGAGTGCAGTGGCACACTCACAGCCACCACAGCCTCGACCTGCTGGGTTCAGGCGATCCTTCTGTCTCAGTCTTCCAAGTAGATGGAACTACAGGCATGTGCCACCATGCCCAGTTAAGTTTTTTATTTATTGTAGAGACGAGGTCTCGCCATGCTGTCCAGTTTCGTCTCAAACCTGTGGGCTCAGGCAATCATCTCGCCTCAGCCTCCCAAAGTGCAGGGATTACAGGCGTGAGCCACGGTGTCTGGCTGCATTTTGTCTTTTTGAGGCCTGAAGATAACTAACCCCTACTACAGCAGAATTTTAAGATGCCCTTCTAAGACGCTCAAGTTGCTGCTCTGTCAACATACTGCAGTGCCCTCTTTGAGTTCCAAAGACCAGTTTTTCTTCCCCTAAAATGGGCCACAGATGTTCCTAGGTTAGAGTTGTAGATGCTTCTGGTTTATTGGAGCAGGAAGAGTTCTTGGGTGCAGGGCCCAGTCTTGCCGTGTCTGGCCACACACCCAGGGAAAGAAGCCTGAGTTCTGTGCCTCAGTTTTGTCATATGGAAATGGGTATGGCAGTACCTTGAGATTGTTTGATGATGACATAAGTTATCATTTGGAAAGCATTTTGAACCACATCTGGCACAAGTAAATGTCACATTTGTTCATTGTATTTGAACTTCTGCTTTGTTGATCTAGAACCAGATAAGACATGGCCAGGGCCCACAGCTAGTGGTGAGGATGGGGAGGACAATGTCACATCAGCATAATCATGGTCACGGGATCAGGGACGGGTGGAGCCAGCAGAAAGGAGGGTAGGAAGAAGCAGCAGACAGCCTCAACAGCTATCAAGAGATACCAGGGAAGCACCTCTCCTGGGCTACAAGTGGCTTCCCCAGACCTTCTTCTGTTTCCCCAGGTGGAAGGTCCTCCTACCCACCCACCATCAGCACCCCTTGATGACCCCACCTGTCACCCTCTCCTTGCCGTCCCGATCCAAGCACTCCTTGCGGGCCCGCAGCCGCAGGGCCTGGTTCTGCCTGATGACCGTGGCCTGAATGATCTCCACGACCTCCACCTCCTTCTGGGGGATGTACGTGCCTGGGAAGAGATGAAGTAAGTGGAGGTTGAAGGTCAGAAGGCATCGGGGCTGTAGTGGGAAGGCAGGAAGCCCCCAGCCCCGATTCAGGCCCAGTAGAGACACACTTACCAGGTCCCTCAAAGAGCCACTCATCTCCTGCCACTATCTTGTCTCCATCCTTATTCTCAAAGTCCAGCAATGCCTTAAGATGGAGGGCAGTGTTGGGCAGAACCACCTGCAGGGGGGTGATATCCTGGTGGGAAAGAAGGGGACACATGGGACATTCAGTGCTGCAACCACAGGGATCAAACATGATACTCTGCATCCATCTTTACATGTCTCCAAATAAGGCCTCAGAAGGGATGTGCACGGTAGGAGAAGTCCCAAGACCATCTGGTTTGATGAACTAAGGGATGGAGTTGACCAAGCAAGAGGGCGCCATTGCTGATGAGCCAAGACCATGCCTTCCCCTGCAGAAAGGCTTATGAGGTATTCAGAGCTAGTAATCACCTAGGAGGGAAGTGGGGTAGAAGTTTGGTGGCAGAAGCATCCAGAAAGCTGAATAAATGAATATTTTGCACTGGGGTTCTTTAGGAAGTGCAAGGGTATGGGAAGGCATTAAGTGCTGTGTTTTTTTTAATTTGTTTGTTTGCTTGTTTTGAGTTGGAGTCTCACTCTGTTGCCCAGGCTGGAGTGCCTCAGCATGCTCACGGCCACCACAGCCTCGACCTGCTGGGCTCAGGTGATCCTTCTGTCTCAGCCTTCCAAGTAGCTGGAACTATAGACACATGCTACCACACCTGGCTTATTTTTTGATTTACTGTAGAGAGGAGGTCTCACCAAGCTGCCCAGGCTGGTCTCAAACCCCTGGGCTCAGGCAATCCTCTCGCCTTGGCCTCCCAAAGTGCTGGGATTACAGGCTTGAGCCACCACACTCAGCTAAGTGCCGTGTTTTAAACATGCAGCTTTGTTCCCAAGGTTGCCTCACGGCCACAAAACAGCTATCATCACTCTCCCTCCAGGAAGGGGGACCTGGCAAAAAATGCCTTATAGAAATGCTTCTACAAACACGATTTCATTTGATCATTCGCAATGTTCAGGGAGAGGCAGGAAAGGAAGAAAAGAGAGGCCTGTTGAGATGAGGGGACATGACCAAGGCCTCACAGCTAGTAAAATCAAGACTTGAACTCGGCTTTTAGGGAAGTCTGTCTGCGCCACCTGACTCTGAGCTAGAGGAGAAGGTAGAGAAACTCAGTTCTATCCATGGGCCACACACTGGGCTGGAGAGCAAAGCTGGGAGTCCACTGCCCAAACACTGTTCACCTCCAATGTGCATGGCACCCTGGCTGTGGTAGGGGAGGATATACCCCATCTTCATGAAGTTTAAGTTCTAGCAGGGTGATAAGACATACATCGGGCCGTTTTCTCCAAGAAACTGTGGACAATACCAGGGAGAGGCGTTTTGCAGAAGTTCAGATGAAGGCGAGTTAGGGAAGGCCCTTTGAACTGGGGCTCAAAGGAAGAGCTGGCTTTTGATACCGAGCTGAGGAAGAAGGAAAAGTTGAGTATTCTGGGAATAGCATGGAAACCGGTGTGTTTTTACCTCCTGCAACTCAGTCTCTTCCTGTCTGTTCTATTGCAAATCCCAGGTCTACTTTTAACTATTCTGGCCATCTCCCTTGTCTAAGCCACTGATGCCTCTTGCCTGGATGATGGGAACATCTTCCTAATTGATATACTGGCTGCCATCCTTGTTTCCTTCCAGTTTGCTCCCAGTTTATGAGACTTGGTACCCAAATGAGAAGAAGAAGGAAGGCCAGGCTCGGTGGTTCAGCCTGTAATCAATCCCAGCACTTTGGGAGGCAGAGGCAAGTGAATTGCCTAAGCCTGTGGGTTCGAGACCAGCCCGGGCAACTGGGCGAGACCTCATCTCTACAATAAATAAAAAATTAGCCAGGCGTGGTAGCACATACCTATATTTCCAGCTACTTGGAAGGCAGAGGTGGAAGGATCGCTGGAGCCCAGCAGGTCGAGGCTGTGGTGGCTGGGAGCGTGCTGCTGTACTCCAGCCTGGGTGACAGAGTGAGACTCCAACTCAAGAAAAAAAAAAAAAGAGGGGTTAAGGGAGAGTGTTAGGCTTGATGTCCAGTAGGAGCCCAGGAAGGGATTCATATAGTCTGTAGTGCACAGCTAAGGCATAGGATCAGACGTTTCAGCACAGATGACGTCATCAAGGCCATGAAGATATGAAGCACATGGGAGGTTCAGTACAGAACCTGAAGACAAAGGGGACAGGGCAAGAGGGGGAAACATCTAAGATGAAAAAAGAAGAAAACGTAAAGACGTGTTTTTTTTTTGAGTTGGAGTCTCACTCTGTCACCCAGGCTGGAGTGCAGTGACATGCTATAGCCACTGCAGCCTCGACCTGCTGGGCTCCAGTGATCCGTCTACCTCAGCCTTCCAAGTAGCTGGAACTACAGGCATGCAGCACCACTCCTTGCTAATTTTTTTTGTTTATTATAGAGACGAGGTCTCGCCAAGTTGCCCAGGCTTGAACCCATGGACTCAGACAATCCTCTCACCTCGGCCTCCCAAAGTGCTAGGATTATAAGCATGAGCCGGCACACCCAGCCCAAGATATGTTTTAATAAGAGGGTAGGTCAACAGTAGATGTGGCTAAGAGGGCCAGTGAGAGACAGAATGACTGTCCACTGGGCTTGCAGCTAGCAGGTCTCAGGGCTTTGCTAAAGCAAGTTCAGTGGAGGGGGCAGGGGCCAGATGGCAGGGGCTTGTGAGGGAATGTGGCAGAGAACACCAAGCACAAGTTGTCACCAAAGAGTAGGCAGAGGTTGGGCGTGGTGGCTCATGCCTGTAATCCCAGCACTTTGGGAGGC